TTGTTCAAATGAATCCACTGATGTGCTCTTTCATTTTTCTTTTTCAATAAAACGATGATTTGTGGTAAAACGTGATGCGGCTGTGGCAGCGGAGAGGGATGGGACCAAGGGGACGCAGGGCCGGGGGAGGGGGATTTTCAAACGACCTAAGGTGATTAGTCACTGTTTAGATTTCGTCGTGTAATGAAGTGAACCGTGTTGTACAGGAGGTTATTGGTTCAAAGTGATTTTTCAAACGGCCTCAGGAATAGTTTGAAGTGCTTCGTGTAATTTGGCTGAGTTGATGTCTCACTATATCTCGGCAACAGTGTAAGCACGATGGTGACACGCAGTGGGCCAGCATCTTTACCTCCTGTTTTCCTGGGCCTTCGTAGGGAAACCTGCTCTACAGTAAATGCCTCCTTAAAGCATGAACAGCGTTGAGACAATGCTGCCTTTGTTCATTCTCAGCCCTTTGTATGGAAAGACGCTCTGAGTCATTCATGAATCTCTTCTCCTTGTTCAGAGTGACTACAGCCGCACTCTGCAAGTGCAGACTATTTCGGTAATGACCACTACTTCATATTATAAGCCAATAATATCATAACGGCATCTTGTGTTTGATGTTGCTGTTTTATGGTTTACGCCTTTTTTCATAATGGACACATCAGAGTGTGACCTGAATATTAAAACAAGAGGTTTGTTACGGTGCCCTTCTCATTATCTGATATTTCTCCAGACAGGCATTTTGAATAGAGCCTTTCACCAAGGGAAATGTAGTGCTAATAGAAACTAGACTATAGAAAATGGAAAGTAACTTAACCTGAAATTAGTTTTCAAAACCTAATCAACCAGTGGTTATGTTTCATTGTGCTGTTGTTCACTTGTGAACCATCTGTGATGCAGTATTGCTCAATCAAATGCATAGACATTACATATGAAATGGATGGAGGTGAAATAGTCAAGTTGAAAAAAAATCTTTTCTCAGAAGTAATTTTATAGAAGGTATAGAAGAGATTTCCATATAGGCACACCACTTTTGTCTCCAGTGAGGCCCTTAATTGGACTGTCTAGACTTGAGGCCCTCAAATGATGGCCCTAATCCAGCCCGTGAGCTGCCTGTTTGTGGACCGCAAACTATGGAAATTACATTATTTTTCCTTTTTTAAACTGTGTGTTAATGTGTGGGGGTTGATCTGCAATTTTAAATAGTCTTTTCTATACCAACAATTTGCTAACAAGCTGTAGCTAAACATCACTTTTATACTTGTGCTTTTACCTTGTACATCCTCCAGATCCTTGAGTCACCTCAGAGTCACCCCAGAATCACCTCAGAGAAATTATAAAATATAATAATAAAATATGTATTATTAGCCCTACAGGAGACTGAACTGCTAAACTGTCCCGGGTGAAGCCCACCCTCGCCCACTGACTGCTGGAATTCTGTGTGACCCTACGGGGGATCAAACAGTGGAAGATAGAAAAAATACAAACATGTTTGTTTAATCAGAGATGTTTTTTTTTTTTTTTTGCCTCAGTTAAACTTGAACATGCTGAAGAGAACCCGTTTTGCAACATTAGGAACAACAAAGAAACAGCTTCTTGACGCCAGTTTGCTTTGATATGAAATTGATGTTAACAGACAGTGCTGAGACCGTGGATCTTTTCATCAAATGTGTTTAAAATCTGAACTCCTCCTCAATTTTCCCAAAACACAAAGCACTTTATTATACGTTGAGTGCAGTTTGCATCCCCGGAGTCTCACAAAGAGCCAAATTCCCTCATGCTGTGTGTAGCAATTGGATGTAATAGTCCATTTACCACTGCAAATCTGATGTGTGAACATTTCACTCTGTGTGCATGTGTGTGTGTGCATATGCAACGATATCCTGGCCAGTGTTTTTCTTTGGAAAACGACTGAAGCAGCTTCTGTAGGATTGGCCTATCATCATCATCATGACCTCGTCTATTTTCCCAGCTGCAGACGAGAGGCTTTTACTCTTCCTTTTTTTTCTGGCTCAGTGTTTGTTATACATCTGGTGGTCAGCGATGAGAGAAACACATGAGAGTCACAGCATGGCCTTTCCTGCTTCACTTGAAAAGTGCTTTGATGACCGGGGACTGTAAGAACCCACAGTGTCAAAGGCAACACTTTGATATTTTGCTCCAGCTGTCAGTTTTTGTCTGGTTTTTGTCAAACACTGGACATGGGAAGCAGCATCTCTGCCAAGAAAAAAATAAATCTTCTGAGCAGAAAAGTACAGATGCAGCACTCGACTGAAGTCTCCTTCAGATTCAGCTCGACTGTTACACACTTCTTCACGCGCCTTTTAATTTGTTGTTAGCTTGAATGCAATTAGCGACTGTGTCTTTGTTACGTATAAAGCTTCAGCGGGAGGAGGGGGTGGTGAATAGTTAGAGAGAGAGAGAGATGTACAGATTGTGCCACTCTCACTCTCTCTGTCTCTCTTTGTTTTTTAAACTGCAGTGTCAGCAGAATCTTAATTTTTCATGGAATTACTAAAGCCTGGCTGGTGTTACACCTATGCACACTTTACCAACTGTATCTGTGTATAAATGCGATCACCGAATGATGATGTAGGACAACTCCTCTAACTTGTGAAGTAAATTAAATGCAACTTTTTTTTTATTTGCTTAATTTTGCATTCTCAAAGTCAGGCTAAAATATTGTACCGGTAAATATATGACCAGGGTTTGATTGAAGTAGGGGTTTGTGTACACCATATTATTTTGTACCTTATTTTCAAAAATCTTTTTGGAAGTGGGTTTGGACTTGTAAACAGGCAAAGTGACAATAAATGACAAATTCCTTATTAAATACATAGATGTGTGCAATACACAGCACAAGAAATAGTCTGTATTTAAACATATACAGGTGTTTTAAAAAACATATGAGAAGTGAGAAATATCTCTGCTGTTGATGAAATTCACTCCCACTCACCTTAAATACTGACTTACTGAGTATGTAGATCCATACTGCCTGCTACTTATGCACGCAAATCTTTGTGATAATGTGATGATATTCATTGTGATTTTCTAGTGTTTTGTGAAGACAGACCAAGAATCTTACAGCACATGGTTCCAAATTTGGTCTGCATGTTTACTCCAGTCCAAGAAATAAAAATAAAAACTTCACTTTTTTCACGTTATTCTTTCAAATTAAATCCTAATTACTCTTCAGTGCTGCAGGGGCCGTCTGTGTGGAGGCTGGGGCTTCTGTCACATTAGGCCTCTGAGCACAGTTAATGTGATAATGTATATACGTGCTGATCTTGTCAGTTGATGACTTCCGCCTGATTAATGCAGCTGTGCAGCCTGTTAGTCTGACTCACTTCTTGGCTCCCGTTTATGGAGGAGTTGAATCTTGCACATCCAACGTAGGACGTACAGCCGTTTACCTGATGACTAACTTCCTGCCTCTGCTCCTACGATGGCAGAACATTTCTGCCACTGCCGTTGCTGATAATTGCAATCATAAAACATGCTATTACAAGGTTCATCAGATGGCTTTTAAAATCTATGCAAAAGCCACTGGCACTACATCAGCAAAATTCAAGGTTAAACCAGAGCAAATACACAGCAAACAACAATAGACTGCAGAGCATAACATCCAACCAGAGCAGCTTTAATTATTCCCCAGGGAAAACGCGGCCACTGCAGTAATTAACGGGACACAACAAAGAGAAAGTATTATACAGCACATCACCTTATGAATCATAATCAGTATTTATACAAAAAGACAATTACAGAGGTGGACTCCTAATGCACAGCTAAAAGTGATAGCTGTATACAAATTACGACATGTAATTTATGTAGTCCTGATGACACACTTGGCTCGGTACATGCAATAAATAAACTCAATTTGTCACACGGTTAACAAGGCAATACGGATGAAAATGAAGTGATACACAGAGAGGAGTCCAGGCTTGCCTCCAGGCCTAATGTTACCGCTGCACTGTGACTCAGTCAGCTCCTTTTCGCAACAATGCAAAATTCAGACCGAACCGAGTCAGATGCAAATTCAGTTGTTTGACTGGAGACCTAATCAGGACCATGTTTACTTTTTAACCCTGTGGTTCACCAAAAGGCTGTTTTTATATGTACAGGAATGGTGAATAAAACTGTATGCAGGATTTACACATTGCTGCAGTAATGCCATGATCCAGCTTTATTGTCGTAGGTCCATTCAGTCAGCAGTAAGAAGATAGGAATGGACTGGAGTATTAATCATATACCAGTTACAAAGCATAACTTCAGTTAACCAGTCAAAGACTGATTTTAAAGTAGTCCCAGACCAGTGCTTTGAGGTACACCAGTTATGTCAAGATTTATTAAATAACTGTTTTATTCATATAATGTATCCAATGTCTATTTATTTTAACTTGAATGCTAAATTAAATTCAGTTTCCATTATTAAGTGAGCTTATTATTATTTAGTACATAACAAATGTTAATGTGAGCCACCTCGTCATGAGAATGCCATGGATTTAATGTTGGCTAACACACAGATAAAACTGGACGTCCTTTAATTCCTCATTAACACACCACAGCCACAGACTGTGTCCTTTATTCACTCGGTGGCCTTTTGAAAGCAGCTTATTTCTGAAAGCTAGAATAACTTGGTAGGATGCAAATAACCTTTGTAAGAAGATGTCCTCGTATAGATGCTGCCTTGCTGGAGATTCTGCTCTTTTTGCATTCCACTCGCCGCTCTTCGCTCTTTCCCACAGCAGTGAACCTGCATTGTCTGCCAACCCTTGTCTCTTTTCCCTTACACCCACGGCTGCAGTCAGAGGCCACAGCCGCCTTTTCATGCATGGCTCACTGTGCTTATGTAAGAGCACTATTTAAACCTGGTTAGATCATATGACAGGCAGCAGTGTGTCAGTGGGTCACTGTGCCACATAACCGCTCAGCTACATATATTCTACATTGGGCCCTCGGGCCCTGCACGGAACAAGTGTGAATGGAGCATCTGTGTGTGTGCTGGAGCGTTCAGTTCCTCGCCCCCAGAAACCTACTCACACATGCTGACTACATATATGTGTGCATGTTTTTGGTGTAATGTAATTGGTTGGTCTGTATCATCCATTAATAATGGCTGAGATCACACCAAACATGTGGCACAGTTTAGGGATTTACTTTTATTATAGAAAATGTGTCAAGTTCTGTGTTTCCAAATTTTTCATCTTCTGTATCCTCTTTTCACCTTTTACCCCAGCTTTTGATCTTCATGCCCCCCCATTTCTGCATGTCCTCAAACCCATCTTCTCTCTCTCTCTCTCTGTCTCGCTCGCTTTTTCACACAAACACACACAGTCTGAGGCTCTAGAGAAGGCAGGACCAACCACTCCCACTGCCCTATAGTTCTATGAAAACACAGAGGACGAGAGACACAGCCAGACAGATGAGAGAGAGAGAGAGGGCGGAGCGTAGCCGTGCTGAAGCCGAGCCCCTCTTTGCCTCCGCACGCACAGTGGAGGAGCAGACGGGCAACAGCCACACAAACACACTCCCCTCTCAGTCACATGCACACTCACACACACACATACCACACACATACACACACGCACACCACAACCGCCGACGTCGCTGCTGCCCCCTGCCCCACCACATACACTAACACACACACTTATACACTCACAGTGACGGCTGCCAGACTCAGTGGGAAGAAAGCCGTCAGGGAGAGAGAGAGAGAGAGCTGGAGGAGAAAGAGAGGGATCGCAGAGGGAAGAGAAGAAAAGAAAAGAGAGAGTTGCAGGAGGCACCTCTTTGGATCAGGAAGGATTTTCCTCCTGAGTGAGCGTTTGGATAAATCAATCTGCTTTTTTGTTGAGCAAAAGGACTTTTTGACCAGAGCTGTCTCTCATTTGCTCATCCTCCCCACCGGTTTCCTGCGATATCTACCTATCCATCTCCAGAGCTCAACAAAAGAGGGAGGGAGAAAGAGAGAGAGTGAGAAATAAGGCAGTCACAGCTTCAGCTTCAGACCACCCTCTCTTTTCCTACTCCTCCTCTTCCTCCTCCTCCTCTTCCCCTCCATCCATGTGTGAGTTGATCGCTGATTTCACTGTCTTTTCAGAGCAGAGGACAGCGTGCGTTCTCCAGGATACAACCAGGCTTCCAGTGGGATCAGGGTCCTGTCTGGCGTGCGTATGAGAGAGGAAGAACGAGACCGGCAAACGGATACACAAGAAGAAAGGAGGAAAGACCAGAGGGAGAGACTGGAAAGCAAATTGAATGGGCATGTTTAGGGCAGAAGTGAGTGTGATTTTCTTTAAAGACTGGACAGTACGAGGAACCGGTAACTGAATCTCATTCAACCTCCTCCGCTTCATCACCATCCTCTTCTTCCCTCCCATTTGGCTATTAAATCTCCTCTATTGTTTCCAGCGTTGATTCTATACTATCTTGTCACATTTTCCTCTTCTCCTGCTCCCACTCAAGATCCCGTCTCCTTTTCTAGACCCCACTGGAAGAATGGTTTTGTGAGGTTCTCCTTCTGTGAGCTCCCAGACAAGCAGACTGACTGAGATCCCAAAAGTACTGTTTGTCCCTCTTAAATCCATCTCCTCCGTTTCGCATTTACCACACACCTCGGGAAGAGAGCATTCTCCCCCTCTCTGCATCCTCAACTCTTGGAATCAGTCATCTAAAGGATCCAGGCCAGCCCGTTGGAAGTGATTCCTTGCCTCCGAGCCTCTATCTCCAGCCTCCAAGACCTTCAATCAGATTCCAGCTACATGGGAAAACGTTTGGAGCAGCAGCCAATGTACCCCCACTACACCTACTACTACCCCCACTATCTTCAGACTAAGGTAGGATGGCCAGTGAGGTTGACCTATTTACACCTGAAACACCAGTGATTTCATTTTCACATCGAGTCACCTTCATTGCATGGTCAGATTAGGGCATATTTAGATTGTGATTTATCAGTCTGAAAAAAAAAACCCTCAAAGGTATGCATGTTGAAAAAACCTCAAGAGACAACTTGGTAAATTGCTAAAAGTGCCCCCCCCCCCTCCCCACCATCCTGTGACTGGATGTCACTCAGCTGTGGGTTTGCTTTTCCGCTCCATCTAACCGCTTGACCCGGTCCCCTTCTGTGTGACCTCACTATTGTCAAGTTCAAGTTTAGGGCATGAGGCCCACCCTTCCCTCAACCCCTGATTCACTCCCACTTTGTATCCCCCTCCAGCTTTTCCACCAACCCCCACAACCCCCCGTCACCCTTTCATTCACTGGCTAGCCCCCAGCCCATAATAACATGTTGAGACTGATGGAAGCAGATATATGTCTCTGATTACTGAGTGCAGTAAACTCAGTGTTTTTTTTGTTTTGTTTTGTTTGATTGTCCTTCAGTTATGTCACCTGCACATATGTAATAACACACACAGACTATTCCTCTTTTTCTAAGTCTTTCTACCGACATCAGAAAAATGGATTAGTCAGGAACCGATCAATTCCTCCGGCATCGTACCTTCGCTTTTGCCATTCTTTTCATCTGCTGTGTCATATTCTCCCTCCACCCCCCGTCCCCTGTTTTCTGTGACGGTGGCTGCAAAGAGTTGGGAGATGTGCTTTAGTATTTGCTAAATGTGTATTTGTCACCAAGGAAGAGATGGAGACAGGAGCAAAGATAAAAGAGTAGGAGTAGAATGCTGGGAGAATAGAGAGATCACACTGATAGGTGGACACAGTGTGGGAAGAGGAGGTTGAATATTAAACTGTCATGATGGATTTGAAGGCCAGCAGCAGAGCACGGAGTAGAAATGTGGCTTTGTTGGAGCTCGTAGTCGTTGTTTCTCCCACTTAAACTTGTTATCAGTTTTTAAATCGTCCAACATTAGTTAATGCATTTCATTTAACTGCATTAACATTCTGAGTGGTTCTACACAGTGACCAGCAAACTGTTCAGTTATATATTTTCAGAAGTATAGTTTGTTGAAATGGCCCAGTACTTCATTGATAAAGAACAAATGAAATATTCAATAGAGCACTGTTTTCTGAATTAAATCGGTTTTAATTAAAAGGGTTTTCACTGCTGGTTGAGTTTTATTATCAGCTAAAACAAGTTGGTGATCATTTTATCTTTTGACTTTTTTTTACCACACAGTTGATACTTGATGAAACAAAGAAAATGAATGAACAGATCATTGACCCAAGGCCAAATGTGAATGGATCCTTGGTAAAAAAAAAATGGAAGTGAATAAGTTCAATTTGTAGTTTTTTTTTATTTAAAAGGGATATTACATCATTTACATAATCAAGACCTTTTCACTGTGTAACAGAGAGAAGTGCAAGAAATTATTTTGTGTTTTCAGGAAATGCAGCACATTCCATAAAGTGGAACGCAAACTTTAAATTTGACCTGTTTTAACAGAACTGGCTTTTATCAAGTGTTAGGCCAAATTAGCAGACACACACACACAGACACACACACACACACACACACTGTGAAGTTAGTCTTGCTGCTCTTGTGCTAATATTAGGAAGAAAAAATCCTATTCCCGATTAGCTTCTGGAAACATTTGCACACGACATGGAGATTGTTTTAGCAGCTTGTTGACATCAGCCTCCTATCTGCTGATCTGAGAGCTGCAAACATTCACATCTGGAAGCTGTCCCATGTTTTTAAGGATGTGCAGGAGACAAACAGAACAGAAGCTGGTAAATGTTTCAAACTCGTCTGCGATTTAGCCGCGCTAACTAATGCTACCACTATAAGCATTTTTTTGTTTACTAATCTGCAGGAGTAAATGCCCATCTGATAGCAGATGATACAAATGGTGTTTGTACTAAATTGCTTTTTAATGGAATAATCCTAAGATGTATGCCAAATGTCTCAAGGCAAAGTGTTTTTTTAGTTTATTAGATTATTTTCCTCTCATAGTGATGAATTAAAATGACAGACCTGAATTCATCTTCTGTACAAATTTCATTGTACTGATAAATAATACTTCTAAACTGTCAGCCAGTTGTGCCGGCAAACATTTTCGTCATTTATTTTGCATCAACACAGCAGACGTATACTTGGAGAAACTGTCGAAGCTAGAAAAACTCTCCTCCTTATAGGAGTCATTAAGAATTGAACTTATCAGTCTTGTCAGTGAATGAATGTAGTGCATCCACTAGCATTTATGATGTCGGTCTTCATCAGAATAATGTCTCATCCCAGTGCATATTATAATCCCCCATTAGCAGAAAAACAAAGTAATTTGGAAACTAAATTAGAAATTATTGAGTGCAACACAAAAATAGTTGGAACAGAAGTCTTCCACTGGGTCACATCACTTTTTAATTTATTTGCACTAGGATGCTAATGATTTAATCTTTGCAGTTCAGACTTTGCCTCAGTTCTGTTGTTCAGACCGTAGACGTCTTTGTCTGTTTCTCCTCTTCACTAATATTTTCAATTAGTGTCTAATCTGGACTGCAGGCAGGGCAGATAGTGTTTTACTTTTTTAAGTTTGGGAATTCTGACCCCAGCAGGGAGCAGCAAAAAGAAAGAGATAAAGTTGTTAATCATTTAAAGTATTTAATTATTTCATTTTTATTTCATCAATGGGAAGAAACTGTCTTTGAGAAAATCTGGTCCGTGGACAACCTTGAACTTTTCCTGCACCTTGTCAAGTTCTTTTGTGTATACAGCCGTCTTATGTCATACGTTTGTCTCATGTCCTGTGATATATCTTCATGGGTCAAAGGTCATGTTATCCTGCAACAGGCATCTGGCTTAAACCATCACTTCATTCTTTACACTTCATCCCCACAGTCCCCCCCTTCCTCTCCCTCAGCACCACTCGTTCCCTCTGCACTGTCAAGGTCAAATCAAATTGCATCCCACCTTCCCCAGTGTTCCCTCTTTACTGCATGCTTGCATTTGTATGTACGTGTGTACGTTCGCACATACATCCATATATATTAATAAAGCTTGTATCCGTCTGTCAGTGTTGTGCCGCTGAACGTGCCTGAGTCTGTAACTTTGTCTGTCGACGCATGTGTGGACGTGAACAGAATTTATCAGCACCCCTGTGTTGTGTTTATGTGCGGGCTAGTATCCTGTGTGAGGTAATGTGATTGTGTTTCTACATGTGTGTGGCCTGTGAACGCTGCCTCTCCTGGCTGACCCCGTCTCACTGCAGCTTGCTGTCATTAAAGCTCTCCAGGTCCCTGAGGAACTGTTATATATGTATGTGTGTGTGTGTGTGTGTGCATGCAAGTGTGTGTCTATATGTGTGTGTGTGTTGGTTGGAGGCCCCATAAAGGAGTTCAGTTATACATCTGCAGTATATGGACCTTGACAACAACCATAGTATTTGATCTGCCTCTGCAGGTCTATGACTTCAAAGATGAGCCGGGGTCAGTAACCTGCAGCTCTGGAGCTGCATGTGTTCTTCAGCCTCTTAGCGATAGCTCGCCGTAGCTTTGGAACGAAAGAAAAAACCAATAACATAAAGATGCAGGACTGTTGTTTCTATTTTTTTCATTTAAACGGAGCATCTCTTGTATTGAAAGCAAAGGTGATACCAAGGGTAAAAGCAGGGAAGTATGGTCTCGTACTGCATATCAATAAAGACTGCAGACGATACAGAACAGAGAGCAGGGCTGCCCAATAAGTAGATCGCATTCTACCAGTAGATCGCAAAGGAGTGCTTCCAGATCATGAGCAGTTGTGCCATGTGCCATAGAGCTATAGTGTACGTGCATGAGTACCTAAACAAACAATGTATATATAAAGTATGTTCAGTTTATAGATAGATAGATACCACTTTATGAATCCCTTGTGAGTTCCCTTTGGGAACTTTAGGAGTACATATGAGTACATTAGTTCATATGAGGACATATACATTTAATGTTTCTACTGTAGGTTTAGTCTGGTCATTTGAATAGTGAAGCCAAAGCCATAAAACTGTGGCCACCCCAGAGATAGATGTATGCAAAAAAGCTGTTCTCAGTTCCTTAACCTGTTCTGCTGGGAGTTTGACTTGGGCTCTGCCCCAGTAAATGTCATGTTTTTTTCAAAAGGAAGAAACAGGAATTGAGACCCGAGACTCCTCAGGAAACTCTTTTCTCTTACGATAGTTTAGTCGTAACTAATTTATTCAAAAGGTCTAAAACAAGCAGCCATGTTGTATTAACGGTTTCTAGATGGTGTGCTTATAGTGGAGCAGCTCTGCCCTGCTTATGTCATGCATAACAACCCCTTAACTCTATGTTGTTTTCTTAACTCTGTTGATGTGTAATCCTCACCACTCCCCACATATATAGGTCAATATTAAAATGGAGCCAAACCAATAAAATAAGTTTATTGAATATGTGAGGTAATATAATCACTTTAATGGCCATGTACTGTGAATTGTGTACTGTGAACAAAGAACTTCTGGTTTTCATAGTAAATGTTACAGACTAGTGAATATGAGTAACAAGAGTGTGGAGGTGCAAACACACAGGTCGTGAGCCATATAAACAACAGACAACAGATATAATTTGTGGTTGTTTTTATTGTGTGGTCTGTTTCAGCTCCCTCTCTCACTTCACACCTTTCTGATGTTTTTCCTCTTCCGCTCACTGATCAGGCAGATATAAATGGTGTGCCTCGTATTGTTATACTCTTCTTTATTCCACCGACTTCTCTTGTTGAGTCAGTCATGTGTGAATGTGTACGGTTTGCACCTTCACTCTCTTTTATCATGCGTTCTTAAGCCGACGAGTCTCTGACACTTGGACAGTTGCAGTTAATAACCTGTTTAAACCAACAATACTTACCCAGGGTTACATGTGCTAATGTGAAGCTAACAAACACAGAATGACTCTG